CTTTCCCCTCTTACTGCCGGTTCTCTCCTCACCCTGCTGTGCTCCTGATGATTACTGATACTCAGTCAAAATGAACAGATGTTCCACAGCACAGATACCCAACTCCCCATCCCTGGAGCTCATAGCAGCACAGCAGGCTCGTCTACCTGGAACAACTAACAGCACAGCAGACATTCCACGCACGCAACTGTAGTTGGATCATCCAGCCCCATATCCGGTTGTACCTGAAACAGAGCAATGGGCAAGCAGGTAAAACGTGGAAAAGCAGCTGATTCTCTTGGAATTCAGAGCTATTGGCAAGATAACTGAACATCTTGTGGGAAACGAGGAACGTGAAAACAACCCAGGGGTTAGCAGACAGTTGTTTTCCACTCCCACTTGTTCCTAAAGCTGTAAGCGACTTGGTGATCTATCATACCACTCTGTGATGACCCAGCCTTGTGTGATGTTTGCAGTGGACATTATTACCCCTGGGAGGAGATCATGACCTTGAACAATAATGATCACTTCAGGTGTCACTGTCTGTTGCTGCAGCACGAGGAAGCATCAGAGAAATCTTACATTTTACTAATTTATTGGCAGAACATATTATCACTCACTTCAGTGAAGAGTCCCACACTTCTGTGTTAAGCCCGTGGCTTGGAGATGTTTCTCTGGGATGGCAAAATGTGCAGCAACCTGCCTCATAGCCTTGAAGCATCCCCTTCCTGTTGCACACAATCACTCTTGCTTCCTTCTTCCATGCAAGCAGCATTACCTGGGCGGCAAGAGTGGGGGAAGGTGAGTGAGGAGGCTGTGAATTTGCAGTTTTAATTAGGGTCATAATTTTCCCCTCTCTTTAAGCTCTCCCCTCCCCTAGTCTGCCTGGCCATTGCATTAGCTTTTTACCAAGGCCTGACCAATGCTATACTAATATTCCCCAGTAGCAGCAAGAGAGCACGCACCCCACCCAAACTGCCCAGCAGGGTGTTTCTAACACTCCAGCACTACTGCCTCTTCTTGGGAAAGGAGCTCAGCTTCTCCCACCTCACAGTGCTTGTACCAGCAGGTAGCTCACTTGGCCTCCTCCACTGGGCTGTGCTCCTGGGCCAGTGCTCTGGTGTTTCCCATTTCCATCCCAGGCCTCCTACACAGCATTCAGTACAAACTTCTACTGCTCTCGCCTCCTTGAGCTACAGCTGCCAGATACATCTGCTATGCATGGTCTCCATCCGGTGAGGTGCTGAGCACTCTTAATTCAACAGCCCTTATCCAAAACCCATCCTTGAACTCAATGGAAGCTCCACTGATGTTCACTGGGCTTCAAATTAGGCTCTTGCTGACTGTATGGGAAGTGAATGCAGGAAGCATTCAGTATTTTACTGGACTTGATCCTAAAACTGAGCAAAGTGTTGCAAAGAAATCCTCCCTGCGTTTGTACTTGAGTCACAGTTTCTGTATACAAGCGAGTGCAAAAATCCAAACTGAAGGTGGGGATTTGAAGCAAAACTTCATAAAATTTAATGTGGGAATAAAGTTGGTTTTCAAGTGTCCGTAAAGGAGCAAAGTGTTCGGATAAAGCTATATAGCATGCATCATGGAAACAACAGGTATTCCAAAATACTTGTACAAAGAGTATGTGAATTTTAAGGAATCAGGCCTCCTAATGGATCTGAGGTTAAGGACAAATATTTTAAAAAATCATGAAGGGGGAAGGGGTGGGGGAAGGAACAGAGAAATGTGGTTCTGGGATTTCCAGTTCTTATTTTAAGATTTGTTACTACAAATCCATGCACTGTGTGCATGAACCAGAAACAGAACTGGAGAGCAGGCTGTGTGTGTGATAACACTGCAACTAACCGAAAGCTGTACATATATTTGACGGCTCTACAATTTTGATACTTTTTTAAAAAAAGAAATACAAAAGCCTGTACAAATCGTGTATAAAAAGCTGCGCTTTTTTCAGATCATTGTAAATGAATTTGTTGTGCAGTGATAGTTTAAATCTTTTCCAATTTGTAACTAATCACGTCAGCCACCAAATTTGTTTATTAAAGAAATTAATTATTTTAAATAATGGTTGAGATTGTTAGGATGTTGTTTAACATTGTAATCATTTCTGTCTTGTTATATTGAAGATCTGTTAGAATGAGTTCTTGCTTGGTGCCTTTTGTGTTTCGGTTTTTCTTTTATGGACAGAAAGAAGGGAGGGGAACTGCTCTATATAACATTTGCTTTACTTACATGAAAAAGAGTACTGAAAACCAAATGACTGTTTGTAAACCAGTGCACTGTTTCTATAGAGAGATTAAATTTTTTTTATCTGGGCCTTCTGATCTGTGCTTCTATTGTTATAAGCACACAGACAAAAAAGTTATGGCTCTTGGATCTGGTGCTAACATACCTTGGGCTTGTGCAAACATCAAACACAGATGCATCCAATCATAAGTCTCAAGAAGCGGGTCAGGTCCTGTTTCCTAAAGCTAATTCAAGACATGGCCTTTATTTTCTTTCAGTTCTTAGTCATAGAAAATGAGGGTCGGAAGGGCCCTCCGGAGGTCACATCTAGTCCAACCCCCTGCTCAAGGCAGGACCATCCTCAACTAGATCATCCCAGCCAAGGCTTCGTCAAGCCTGGCCTTAAAAACTTCCAAGGATGGAGATTCCTCTCTAGGTAACCTGTTCTAGTGCATCACCAGCCTCCCAGTAAGAGAGTTTTTCCTAATATACATCTCAAACCTCCCTTGCTTCAACTTGAGACTGTCTCTCCTTGTTCTGTCACCTGCCACCACTGATCACAGTCCAGCTCCATCTTCTTTTGAACCCCCCTCAGGTAGCTGAATGTTGCTATTAAATCCCCTCTAAGTCTGCTCTTCTCCAAACTAAATAAGCCCAGTTCCCTCATAAGTCATGTGCCCCAGCCCCCTCACCATGTTCATTATTCTTACTTAATACCTTTCAGTTTCCTCGGTCAGCATCTTGGCAGCCACAACCCTGAATACTTGACATCTTCCAAACCCCACCCCAATGCACATGAAGGGAAATTCTGCCTAATCTCAAGCCCACTTTCTCTCACCCTTACTGCCATTTCTTTCACCCCCAAATCATACAAGAAATGGGGTCTGGTTTAGTTAGGTACCATAAGCACAGCTCTTACACAAGTGACACAGAATTAAAACCTACATCGTTTTAGGTTGGTATGACCTAATAATACGGAAGCATTACAAATATATTACATTTCATCAAGACGTGGAGCTACGCTGTGTCCCTGTCCTGTTAAATTCTGATACCTGTGGAAGAATTATGTTCCCAGGTTGCAGACTGATAACGCTTTAAACCTAAGGCATTACATTTTTCCCAAGATTTCTACCAGCAGGTGCTTGTATAAGTATTCAATTTTATCAAATTCTAGCTTTAGCAAACCCAAAACAAAGCAATCCTGCCACCTCTACTGACATGGAGAGATGTACATTAGTTTTCCAAATTTCCAAAGCACTCCTCATAACTCTCACACTATCACTGTCATCTGGTCGCACAATTCATATACGAGCTGTGATCTAAAATGATCAACTACTGTTCTTCTCCACTGCATATGCAGCTTGGATCAACCAAGAATGCAGAGCACATGCACAACCCGTGAGCCATGGCTGATGAAAACGCCCGATTCCTATGCAAAGATTGCATGTTATGAGCGGGACCCACACAAGCAGATATTTGAGACTAGTTTTAGAAAGCAAGATGGTGATGAAGAAACAAAGGCACAAGCCCAAAATTTCTCCTCCTTGCTTAGATTGGCAGTATTTAAAATGTGTTTTGTCAGTTTTATGGCTCAAAAACAACATTAGAGCTATCTGCACACTTGGTTAGTTCTAATCGGTGCAAACCAACCAGTGCTGGAATAGACGTGGCATTAAACAAGTCAGTATACTAATGGGAATCAGCTGGTTTTCTCAACTGCCCCCTTTCTAGGTTCTCCTCCCAATATGACAAACTGGGAAAATGCTTGTAATATGTTCATGGATATTACGTGACTTGGTTTCCCTTAGGGGTACACCAATAGAGATTTTTAGGCCCAATACCGATATCCGATTTTTAAGGAGGCATATCAGCTGATACCGCTCTGATTTCCAACACAGCGTGAAGAGCTGCCTCCAGCTGATAAGTCTGTTGTGGTGGAAGGGGAGGGGGGAAGGAAGCGGGGGGCAGATCAACCCCTCCCCTGTAGTGAGGGAGGGGGCAGGGGCTGCCCAGCTGGGGTGTGGAACAAAGCCGCGGCTTGGGGGCAGCTCTCCCCACTGCTTGCACCCCAGAAGGACACCGGGGGGGGCACATGTACCCCTGGATCTGCGCAGGGCAGGGTGGGCAAGCTATGCCTGCGGGCTAGAGCCCGGCTAAGCTGGGCTCTTCTCACTGGGCACTGGGCTTGGGGCGGGGGCTATAGAGGGGGCTGCAGCCACCCCAAATTTTGCTGTTGCTCCCTCCCACTGCCACCGCCGCCACGCACAGCCCCGGCTCTTCCCAGTTCAACCCCCACCTCCCCTCACACACCAGAAAGAGCCGGGGCTGCACCAGGCACGTGGTGGCAGTGGCAAGGGGAAAAGCCACGGCTGCACCAGGTGGGTGGCGGCAGTGGTACAGGGAGGGAGCTGTAGTGAAATTTGGGGTGGCTGCAGCCCCCCCCCCATCCCCATAGCTCCCGCCCTGAGCCCAGCCCCCAGGAGAAGAGCCCAATGCAGCCTTGGCTCCAGCCCGCCCACCCCGCACACATCTGGGAGCACACCCCATCCTGTGCCCTCCTGGAGTGCAAGCAGCAGCTGGTGCCACCCCCAAACCGCAGCTCCATCCCATGCCCTGCCACACTCCAGCTGGGCAGCATCTGTCCCTGCCCCTGCCCTCTCCCTCACTGCTGTGGGGCGGGATTGATCTGTCCCCCCACCACACCCCTTCCCTCCCCACCCTCCCCTTCTACCACAATGAACTTACCAGCGGGAGGCAGCTCTCCACACTGCCGGGCTGTGCTCCTTGCTGTGCGAGTGCTGCACTGCAGCTGTGCGCATGCACAGGCATTTATCGGCCAAATTATCAGCTGCATAAGGCCAATTTCCGATGCAGCCAATTTTCTTTATATTGGTACCGATATGGAACTGATGTATCGGTGCACCTCTAGTTTCCCTGTTTGCTTGTTTTGCTCCTGCCTTACTGCATGAAGTTAAATCCCAGAAAGGTGCCAAGGAGCCTCAGAGGTGGGGGGAATTAGCTGAACCTGCCTGAGCTATGGATAGAGAGGTTAAACTTACATAACAAAAGGTAGGTGTAGGACTCTTTTTGTTTCATATCATGGCCCTGCGTGGTTTGTGCCTTTGGGTAAAAGAATAAGCAATGCAATGTTTGGAACAAGTTGATTCTGAGTCACTTCAATCAACAGCTTTTCACAGATTTCTCCCTAACAAGGTCCTGGGTTTAGTGCAGACAAACCACACCCCCGAGCAAGGCTGGAGACCTGCCACCTGTGGGAGTGAGCCCAACGGAAGCCCGAGAAAGGACAGCAGTGCAACTTTATGACATGTGAGTGCCTTTACCTTTCACGAACCAAGGACAACTCCTCCTGCATCAGGAAGGCCATATTCTGAAGTGCCACAGCATGGAGTTCAAAAGCACTTTTATCCTGGAAGAAGATAAAAGCAGCATAATGTTACCAAGGGACATCATGACCTCAGAAAAGATGACTACAGCAGCTGAAGATGCTTATACCCAGCACACAGCTTATACCCATGCTTATATCCAGAACCACCCATCCTAGCTTTTAAACAAACACCGAACCTCACTAACCTCATCATCACCAGAAGCAAATTCCCTGTGACCCAAACCATACCTCATGGATCCAGACCATGCCAGGACAAGAGGTGCAAAACCTGCCAACACATCTTCACCACCTCCACAATAACTACACCCCACAACAGAACCGTCAGCACAGTAAGGAGTCATCCCTGGATCTTACGTCTGCACCTCCAGAAATGTAATATATCTCATCCAATGCACTACATGCCCTGATAGAAAATATATAGGAGAAGCCAAACAGCAACTGTACACCAGAATGAACGCACACTGAAAATCAAACCTGTGCGGGCGCACTTCTCACAAGACAATCACTCCCCTTTTCCAATCTCTCAGTTCTAATCCTCAAAAGGGGCTTACAAAACACCTCTTGTAGACAAGCTTACGAACTTCACTTCATAAATCTACTGGATACAAAAAATCATGGACTCAATATAGACCTTGGCTTTCTGACACATTACAACCTGCCTGACATCTGATTCACTAGGTACCTGCCAGACCTGACCGCTTACACTTTTCTTTCCCCCTTTCTCCCCTCCCTTACTTTTCTGCCCTTTTCCTACCTCAAATTACCATTACTGTAGAGTCTCCCTGACTCACCTTTGGCTTTTTCCCCCCCCTGCTTCTCCCTCCCCTCCTCCCTTCCCTGCTTTACCTTTTGCTCTACTAATTTCTACCTATTTACATTCTCACTGACATCCTCTCACACTTTTAACCTCTCTCATTCTTTGGAGTCTCAGAACAACAGAGACTTCTGATGCCTGAAGAAGGGTGATTGTGCCCAAAAGCTTGCTAAGAACTTTTTTCCAACTACTCAAGTGGTCTAGTAAAAGATATCACATCTACTCAAAGGACCTTGCCTGCCTATACCCAGCACAGGCTCTCCAAATCCAACCTGCTACCAGGGGCCCTCTGTATACATATACAACTAGGCAAGTTTTATTTCTTGATCAGAATGCTGCCTCAGTGAAGACAGGCACACTACAAGCCTCCAGACAGCCAGAGAATACACTGAGCATGGTTAGCAGAAACACCCTCCCATCTTTGGAGAAGCAATATTTGATGCTGAGGGATCTAGAAGAGCATTTTATAACAGGAGAAAGGAGGATCCTGCTCTGTTATGGAAAAGAAGTTCACTAATTCTCATGCTTTTTAAAAAAAAAATACAAGCTGTAAATGAGGAGCAACATTATAAACTTTTCCTTTGCTACAAAAAAGGCCTAATAGGTTAACCAGAAGTGAGGGCATGACCAACAGGTCAGTAACTATGGTCTGAAGGACACCACAAAGCTCTGGCTCAAGTCAGGTAGTGGAGAGGAACTAAGCAGCAGGACACACTCATTCCTCATGTCCTTGGTGTGATGCACAAGGAGAGCTAGGGCACATGTGCACCACATAGCAAAGTGAGCACATAAGGCTCAGGTAATCCACAGTAAAGAACCAAAGAAAAGAGGAATTATAATACTGGTTCCAAACTAGGAACTAAAGCTTGAAGCATGGCTGACAGGACTAGGGCCTGTTTCTCCCTTGCCTGGCATACTGGATAGCAGCTTGCACGTATGCAAAGTGCATGTTACACACAATGATTTGCAGCATTTTACACCCCCTTGGTAATCCCTTTGTACAAGTACTAATTGCTTTCCAGGGTGCCAGGCTATGGAGAATTATGTTAATAGGCATCATAGTGATCCATTTATATTGTGCTTGCAACATAAAGAAGAGCCAAAATCCCACAGAGGTGTTTGCGCTGCAGCACAGCTGGCTGTATGGGACCCTTCCATGCAGCCACTGATGTGAGGTTGTGCTAAGGTGTGCTGCAGAAAGGGAGGAGGGTATCCTGCGCTCTGGGAGGACCCACTGACTGGGGGTGCCTGTACACAGCACAGGTTGTAATCCTCATTAAACAGGTTTATAAACTTTAAACTTGTTTATTTCGAAGTGTCACATCTGTGTTTACGCGCACTAGGTTTTCAAACTAATAGAGCCTTGAAGCGTCTCATCTGTGTTATACGCACTAAGTTTTCAAATGAATTAAGCTGGGTCCCTGGCTGGCATTACAGGAGAGCAGGACAGTTCAGTACTGCCCCCCCCGCCGCCGCCCTGGCCTGGGGCCCCCTACCCACCCCATGTCCTGCCACGTAGCTCTGGAAGTAGGGAGCTGGCAAGCCACACAAGGGGAAAAAAAATGGAGGCAATTTGAAAGCAAAAGCAATGCAAAGGGGTGAACTACAAAAAAGTTGCGGCGCCATCTGGTGAACAAAGAGGCTCATTACACATCTTTGAGTGCTTTTGTGCTTGCATGCAACAAATCCACGGACGCGATGCTTTAATTCCCAGCGAGCCAGACTAAACTACGCCCAAGGAGTTTTAGTTTAATGAATAAGAAAAACTTTAGCACATTGGAAATCCCACTCATGCAAACAGACACACAGTTGTAGCACATGAAAAGGCAAAAATTGTGGCGTGTACATGAGCCCTAGAATGTCATTTGAGGCACATTCTACATACAGGAAGTGTGCTGCCATGATGCACTATTTCTCTGAGATTCTCCCATGCCCCTCTGTAGGGTAATGAAGCATGACACATGGGCCCTGACATAATATGTCTGAAATATAAAGAGCAGATTACTATTGTTTCAAATTGACATAGTATGTTGAGCTGAATAAAAAAAAAAATGAACATAAAATCCAAGGAAAGGAAATGACCTGAAGGATGGTAAAAACGGTCAATTATTTTGGGCCGAGAATGTTTTCCATTAACAGCTACTAAAAATAAACTTGTTCCAGGTTTCAGAGGGGGGCAGGGAGTACAGTATCAAGATAATTTACTACAACTCTGAAAGAAAATAAGGAATTAACTTACCCAATCCTGCTGACAATACGTATTCATTTAGTGAAGCTAAACGGTTCATAATGTTCACAGGTTGACAATGATTAAAAACGCACTTTAATACAGAGGAAAACAACTGAAATTTATTTTAATATCTTATGGTAAGGGAGGAGATTAAGGGTTAGTGTGAAATCTCTAATATCTCTGATGGAAGCTGTATTCTTCATATGAGAAGAAGGGGGTAAAAAAATGAATTGAGGCATATCTCCAAGGTAGCACCGCTGTGCATCTGAGGCAGCTATAATATCCGAGTCCCCTTCTTGTTTACCAAAACCAACCACCTGAAAATTCAAAGGTCAGACAGTTACCAGAAAAAACTTTAAAGTCTGGATGCTAAAAGTCAAACCTATGCTTTTAGTTCATAGCCACCAATTTCCTAAGTGAGTTTAGCTAAACAATAAGTTTCTCCCATGGGCACCTGATGATCATAGTAGCAGAGATCAAATAAAAGCTTTTGTGAATTTTGCAAACTGCAGACTTCTCTCTTAAATCCTTGTCCCAGGAAAATGCTACAAAGACTAAATTAAAAGTGTGGTCCTCTCCTCCAATGTGGGTGTAATTAGAGATCGGAGATTGAGATAGAGGAAGTGCTATTTGCAATTCTAGCTTTTAACTATGTTTAAAAAGTGGTGGTTGATTTACAGGCAAGGTTCTTCGTGATATCCTTTAGTAGACCAACTGAGTAGTTGGAAAAAAGTTCTTAGCAAGCTTTTGGGCGCAATCACCCTTCTTCAAGCATAGGAAGTCTCTGCTGTACTGAGACTCCAAGGGATGAGAGAAGCTAAAAGTGTGACAGAGTATAGGAAGAAACTGGTAAAACAAAATGTAAAACCGGGAAGGAAGGGACTTGTTTTACATGCATCTTCACAGGACTCTATTTTGAAACGAGTCAATCACGAGAGCAAGAGTAGAAGAAAAAGAAAGACCCTAGAATTTAAATAAGGAAATCATTATCAATTCAGACATTTCAAAAAAGGTGGTGGGAAGGACACTAATATAATGGACTACTGATTCCAAACATACTCACATGGAGACTGAGTACCTTCTTCTCATGGCCTCTGTGAGCTCTGAACCAGTCAACCAGGTCTGCTTTGGTAAATGATTTTAGTGCCTCAATCTGAAAACCAAGGACAGAATCCTCAACCTTCCAGCTACTACACTGATATTATACAACATCCTCATTTCCAGCACTTAAACAGCATTTAAACATCTCCACCAGCCTTATTACCTTGTCCTTTGATCCATCCCTGAACAACGGTTGCAGACATTTTAAGCCCCGGAACTGAGTTTCTACGAGGCAGATGAGATCAAACTTTCTATTCAAGAAGCAATATCCACTAAGGTTGAAATCTTGGCCCCACTGAGATCAGTTAGAGCAGGGGTTCCCTACCTTTTTATGCTGAGGGCTGGCAAACTGCAGACCAGCAGTGACCGTCATACTACGGACCGGCAGCCAACCCTTTTTCATACTCAGTATAAAAAAGGGTTGGCTGCCGGTCTGCAGTATGCTGGTCACTGCCGATCCACAGTTCGCCAGTCCGCGGTCACTTCCGATCCAGCAGCCAACCCTCCTGTGGACTGGCAGCCAACCCTTCGCGGCCCAGTACTGAACCGCAGCCCTGGGGTTGGGAACCCCTGAGTTAGAGATTTGCCACTGGCTTAACTAGAGCAGAATTTCACCCTGGATTTCAAATGCTAGCATCTAGTAAGACAAATACGGACAATAAAAGATGCTTATTATTAAGCTGAATTCATTACCTCGTGGGCAAGTCTGTCAAAAAAATACTGCTGGGTCACTATTTCATTCCAGTTTCTGTCCACCTCTTCCTCAAGATAGGAATCCTCACATTCTTTAATATTTATTAGAACACTGACCTGTGAAAAAAACACACTCATACTTATTACTCTGTAGGGAAGCCAACATCCTTGGGAAAGGAGGGGGATTCTGTTACAGAAACCCTAATTAGCATAAGATGTGGTCTAGTGTATTATTCAAAGCAAATGTTTAACTTGTGCTAAATGCAATTTTGGTGTCTGGGGCATTTGCTTTAAGTACTGAAATACTAACAGTTCTTGAGTCCTTTGAACAAAATTGTCCACGTCCCCTGAGCCCAGCTAAAGCCATCAGGAGAAACAAGAGACCTATCACAGGGTGGGAGGCTCAAAATCCACAGGAGATGAAACAAAATCAAAGCACATTCCCTGTTTAGTTTTGATGCCAACCCCAGAAAACTCCACCGTGCACTGCAGCCAATGCCGGGAGTATGGAGCTGGAAGGTATCCCCAGGTCATCGAGTCCAGGCCTCTGCAGTTAGAGGCAGCCACATCATACACATTTGTCCAAAGCTGTCTCTAAAAACATCTGATCCAGACCCTCTCATGCACCCACTTGAAAAATGCCTGACAAAAAACAGACAAGGTTCTTTGGGTAAATCTGATATCTTTTATTAGACCAACTAAAATAGTTGGAAAAATTCTTCTTTGCAAGCTTTCAGGTACCAACACCCTTCTTCAGGCTGAGTAAGCACCTGCAGTTGTTCTGTGCTCTTCCTGGATGGAATAAAATAAAATAGAAGCCAGAGGCCAGTATGCAAGAATGCCAGCCAGTGAAAATGCAAATTGAGACAGTTGGTGGGTGAGAAAAAACAGGCTTGTCACAAAAAATAGGCTCTTCAGTACAAAAACAAGCAATGGCCAGAAGGAGGACGAGAACAGGAGAGACAAGGGCACCATCAATGCCTACTGCCCTGACAAACAGAAATATTTCCACTTCCTCCATCCCAAAGAGGACGCCAGTGGTTTTTGACACATCAGGAAAGGAGCAGAGCCATTCTTACCCTGTGCATTTCAACTGCTTCTCTCGTTACCTGAGCACTGAATGCTTCTGTAGTTAAAATCTTGAGCTTTTCCTCAAAGCACACAAGAAATTCTTCTATTTTCTTGTCAACTAATTCAGTGCTGAAAGAAACAAGGGAAACTTCAGAAATAATATTGTTCCCTCTTGATCCAAGTACTGCCCAAAATGTAGAGTTCTGCAGGTAGTTCCAGTTAGGAGGAGAAACTGATGCTGGAGGCAGGGATTGCTTTAACGTCACCTTCTCTTTTTATACAAACAGTAGAGAAGTCCTGTTTCCTAGAGTGCTGGAAGAATGAAAAGCAGGATGGTTTTCTAGCTCACGGCTCTAAACCTTTCAGGCAGCATCCAGCCCAAAGCATCTCTAGCAAGGTTGTGCTATCAGTGTTTCTGTGGTTGTGGTCGGCTGCCTGCTGCTTCTGTTTCCTTTGCCGAGACTTTTGGTGCTTCTCTCCCTCACAACACACACACCTGCCTGCTATAAACAATACCCAGAAAAAGCTGCTCTGATCACATATTTCAAATTTCTCAGTGAATTGGCATGAAACATTGTTTTGGGTGATGCCATATTTCCACATTTAGGTTTGAAGACTGCTATTGTTTCAGAAAGGAGCTTAAAAGCTGCATATGGCTATCTTAAATGAAGGGTACTGGTTACATAAACAACTTCAATGATTTCTTATTGAACCCACAATAATATCATGAATAACACTGGAAGGACATAATAAATAAGTAGGGGGAAATGAACAATTTAAAGTCTGGACCTTTATCGCCTCACAATATCTTTGCTATCCACACAAATGAATAGATATGAGAAGACTATACCCATGTTTCCTAAGGGTAAGGTTACCATATTTCCAGTTTCAAAAAAGAGGACACCTGCCAGGGAGGGAGGATGGGGAGGCAGTGATATGCCTGTGCCCTGCCCCCGCCCCTCACTCCCGACCCACAGTCCGCAGCCCTCTGACACTACCTGCTCCCTGCACTCCCAACCCACAATCCCCTGCCCCACCGCAGTGGCCCTCACTCCCAAACCACAGCCCCCCATCCCTCCCGGTGCCCCTCACATCTGACCCGCAGCCCCTTACACCCCCCACCCAAGCCCTGCTGGTGCCCTTTACTTCCAGCCCACAGTCCCTTGCCCTGCCCAACGCTGCCAGTGCCCCTCACTCCTGACCCGCAGCTCCCTGCCCCCCCTAGCCCTGAGAGCGTCTCCCAGCTGCCCTGCCCCATGAGCACAGGCACCGGTGTGGCCACGCAGCTCCCTGCTGCCCCTCCCCTGCTTCCTTTCCCCGCTGGAGGAGAAGGCATCACCCCAGCCCTGCTGCCGCCCAGTGCCAGGGAAAACTTTGATGCTGAGCAGAGCAAAATCCTGGCCATTTGTTGATATTTTTTAAAAATGCCCGGATGGAGATGGGAGGACCCAAAAAAGGGACATGTCTGGGAAAACCCGTAGGTATGGTAACCCTAGCTAAGGGGCAAAAGAAAGCCATTACCTGTTTTGATTTTCAACTTTTTCCTGAAAAGGAATATGGTTACCTGACAGATAAAACTGGTCAGTCTTTAGACGTAACAAGAAGAAAATGCTACTACTACTGCTGGCATGTCCTGACTAACACTGCAGGCATGTTACTGGCAAATTATCTTACATTAAAGACTGTGCGCAAGCTCAGGGTCTCAGACACAGGTAAGTGGGGTGCAGGAAAGCAGCTCTGATACAGGAGTAACAGATGTTTAGAAGCATATTCCCAGCTGCTGTACCCACTGGACTGAAATTTCCAAGGAGTTAACATGCAGCAATGCACATGGGGGACAAGGTAATAGCAGAGAGGTGTATGTATTTCTATTGTTTCCAGATTGTCTGCATCTTTTTTTTTTACAAATTAATGGAGATCTATTTAAAATTCAGCAGTCAGCTATCAACTTGAAAAAAATTAATAGTGGGCTTAAGATAAAACAGCATTTGAAAGGTCATTTATTCATTTGCCCCTCTGAAACTGAAATTAAGGTTTCATTGGCATATGAAAAATATGTGTAATTTACTATTCATAGTAATCTAATGCTCTTTTGTGTGTCATAAAGCATTAGTGTGTTCAAATACTGTGCTATTTGCCATACGATTATAGAGAAATAGAGGGCAACTCTAGAAACTGACTGATCACAAGGAAATAAGTGTCCCAAGCTCCCTGCAAAGGAGGAACAGCTTCTGTTATTCTTTAGCTGTTATCACTGACCATCCCTGTGACCTTCAGAGAGGATCATCATGCCATGAGGACTGCTTGAGGATGGAGAGAATTCCAATCATTCATCACTTGCAGCTCTCTGCAGCACTGGAACTAAAATTAAAACTGTAGATGGAAAAAGCTAAGGTTGTAGTGTATATCAAGTCAGACTTTTTTAAGCCAGTGGAGTCTGAGCCAAGACAGCAGACTAGTATGGTTAAGGCACATTGGTGTTTGTAGCCAACAGCACACACTGGAGTAATGTGGCCAGCAACATGACTAGGAGTCTCTGATTCCCCAAATTCACAATGACCATGTACCTACCCATACCAAGGGGCAGCCCTCAGCACAAGTCTGAAATAAGTCTTAAACTTTTGCCTCTGGATCCGTAGTGAAATGCCTTAATCATTCTGCAGCCGCATCACCCCAACTATACTCCACCTAACTAAATAAACAGTGTATTTGCAAAGAACTTCCAAGTGAAAACATTGCAACAGATTACTAAGAGCTTTATCTGGCTGAACAGTAAAGATCAAGGGTGAAATAAATCTAGCAAGAACATTAAAATCTTCTACACTACTCCATTGTCAGTAACAATGGATACAGAATAAAACAGACCATTTTTGTTTTAAAATGAACTAAATGTTCTGCATATAAGCAAGAGCAATAATTAGCTGCTCAGCTTTACACATGCTCAAAACTTTTCACTATTAATCCCCAATTTCTTTATATTTCAGTACATTCACTTTCAAATAAAGCTGATGCATTCATGTGGAATGGATACCATGAGGCTGTTTGGGGCATTTTATGCACTGGAAAAAAATAACCCAGTTACTAAAACCATGCAAGTCTGTGATATGATATTTGTATGACACCAGATTGCTCCTAACCAGATGGGAAGAAAAATCCAGGACCTTAAAGAAGACCTAACTCATTGTGTGTGATCCAGAAGAACTTTTCAATCTAACCAGCAGAACCACCACAAAGTGAATAGTGTGAGCAGGGGGTCTAAAATTTGCAACTGGAAAATAATTTCTCATTCTATAAAACTGTGATAAATGAAGTACAAGATTCCAGAAGCTCAATTCTCTAAGCTTTATGTACAAAAGGGCTGGAAGCTAAAAAGCTTCAGGTGCACTTCAGTTGAGATCTGTAGACATTAGCTCTGAACGGTTTTCTAATGATCCTAAGGTGGAATCACCACCACTCTGTAGCCATTTTTTTAATTAGTAAGATACTTACTTGTTCTTTGTAGCTTGTGTTGCTACAGTAACAGAGAACCCAAGGATCCCAGAAGTATTTCTACAGGCAGGGTACACATGGTAGCTAAAACCAAAGGGAGAAAAAAAATCATTCCCTAAAGACAAATTTATTTATACACATAATCCATAACTGCTAAATTAGAATACTGTTAGCATTTAGACTGTGTTTATCAACTTAAATGTTCCTGAGGGACTAGCTTAAATATCACTGTAAACTCTCACATCTGGTGGCATTGAACTTTTCTTGTTCGGGACATCCTTCTAGAACTGTGTATTGTTTAGCAGATGGGCGTCATTCAGTATTTGTGTTATAAGAAGTTCTGTAAACTAGACTTGTCAAATTATAAGGATGCAGACAGTTCAGGTGCCATGCACTCAGGGGTTACAACATCCCTCAGTTCACATCAGTTGGCCTGAAGAAGCTGATGCACCTGCAAATGCGACAGGAATTAATTCCAGTTCAACAGCCACCTCTGTTTACATGTGTGTTCAGGGAAACACTATAGTAGTGGATAACTTTTCCAATTTAAAGCAGTGTTACTGGATGTAACCCTGACATACAGCAAAGTGAGTAAGTAACAGAGTTATCAGAGGATGCCTTTATTACTGATTGTAGCAAGTTACACTCTTCTTTCAGTTGTACTATGCCAGGGATTAACTAGGCACACCAAAGCATCTCCAAAGTACCAAAATTAATATGACGCACTATCATAAAGCAGCTGAACAGGAGCTATACCCCAACACAGTGAACTTACCCAAGGGTTTGCTTGGTTCGCAGGAAGTTGAAGCAAGGCTCTTCCATGTGCATCTGAAACATGGCATGATTTCAGTCAGAGCATGTTCCTACATGCAGCAGCAGCTACCCCATCATAGCAGCTTTGCCTCAGACCCAGCACAAAAGTGTGATCAAAATAAGAGAGTAATAATACTAATACCTCAAATGATTCCCTCTTCCCTGCTACCCTATAAAGGAATAACTTTCACCCCATAAACTGGGAACAAGGGAAGCCTGACATTAAACATTCATGTTCTGTAAGAAGAATGTTCACTTATTCCATTTCTTGGTAAACAGTTCTTTGGGGATTTCCTAATATTATGCTTAAAGCACA